CGAATTTGGAGATCCCTGTACCACCAGCTGCTACTGCTACTGCTGCAGCTGTTGTAGCAACCACTGCTGCTGTCAATAAGCAGTATGAGCAGGGCCGTTGGAGTGATGGTGATGAGCCAAAGGGTAGTGGTGATGGAGAGCACAATGCTATAGGAGAAAACTCGGAAGGCGAGAGAAAATCTGATAGATCAGTAAGTAATGACAGCACAAAATCTGATGATGATGTTGCCGAGTATGATATTCCATGGGAGGAAATTGCGATGGGAGAGCGCATTGGACTTGGTATTAACTGTACATTGTTCTATATTACATTTTTCTGTTAGACAGTGCTACTGTGTATAGGAGTTCTTTTTTTACTGTCTGGTGTTCCGTAGAAAAACTCAATTGCAACTGTGTGGCTTGTATTTGGCATGCAGGATCATATGGGGAAGTGTACCGTGGTGATTGGCATGGGACTGTGAGTATCATATCTTCATCAACCTAACCCATTGTATTATTTATTATACTACATATGTTTTTCATCTTTCTTTCATTATTCATTTGGTTATTTTTGTTCGCAATAAAATGTGAACCTTTTAAGGCTCCACTGATGCAATTGCACCTTTGTATGTGCAAGTGCAACAATTTATAAAATGTAATTTTGTTACCTCTCATTTATGTTGTCACATGTCTATATATATATATATATATATGTATGTATAAGGGTGGTTTTCTATTACATTGTAGATTATAGATTTCTTATATTTACCGCATGTTTCCTGTCTTTGCTTTACAGGAAGTAGCCGTAAAGAAGTTTCTATATCAAGATATCTCTGGTGAATCACTTGAAGAATTCAAAAGTGAGGTACATCCCACCTCTACTTCCCCGCGGTTTTCTTCTTTTGATATTTCTTCTTTTTTGCCTTTTCTATTTTATTTTTGCTCTCAATTGACTAATGATTCCATTGAGAGCAAAAATTATAGCTAGGTCTGGTGAAGTGATAAACCAATAGAGGCTTTAGTGTCTTATTGAGATAAGTGGATCAAATGGAAGATAGTTTGATCAAGTCGTTTCTTTTAATTTTTCTAATTTTTGGATCAAAATTTATCAATTCAAAATATTATCGAAAATATTTTTGGTTCAATTCTGCAGAGATTATGTAATATTAGTTGTTTTTGGTTTCCCACCATGTTTACATATCTACACGGTTCCCTGTTCAATGATGGAAGTGCTTATTTAATATATATAAATTGCTTTAGGTCCAAATAATGAGAAGACTTAGGCATCCAAATGTTGTTCTCTTCATGGGAGCTGTAACTCGGCCTCCAAATCTGTCGATTGTTACTGAATTTCTTCCTAGGTAACTTGAATTTCTTCATCTCCTGAGCTTAATGAGACTGATTATTGTGTATTTGAAAATTTTCAAAAGTTGATATTTACTTGCACTACCACTATAATTAATGAAATAGACAAATAGTTGTAACTGTTCTATTAGACAAAAGAATAATGCTACATCTTCAAAAAATGCTTTCTGAAGCTTTAGCGAATGATGTGGCATATTCTGTGGGAAGAAAAAAAATGCCCATTTGATGGTGGAAACCACTATAATTTTTTTGGTAAAATGGCATTTGAACCTCTCTTTTCTATCTTAATAAGTCTTTGATTATATACACAAAATTAGCAGTACTCTGAAATGAATTTAGTGTATCATGTTCATAAAATATTTATGATTGTGCTTCATACCATTTTCTAATATATGAATGCTGTTGCTGTGAGCTGAAACTGTAGGTTTAAATGCATTTAGTGTATCGTGTTCATAAATATTTGTGATTATGCTCCATACCATGTTCTAATATATGAATGCTGTGAACTGAAACTGTAGGTATCTATTTGCAACTTATACTGATGTTTGCTAGAATAATAACTTAAGAAGTCAGAAATTTTAGATAACCATACTCAAGGTTGTTTATTCTATTTGATTAATGTCTTTTTCGAGTTTGATTCTTCAAATACTGAGATGAGATAATCTTTTGCAGGGGGAGTTTGTATAGATTAATTCACCGACCTAACAATCAATTGGATGAGCGAAGGCGGTTGCGGATGGCCCTTGATGCTGTAAGGATTTAGTTGTCTTTAAGTGTAATGCAGCTTCATTCAGCAAATTATTGCTGTAATGACCAGTGGATGTCATGATATAACCTGTCTCTCTTTTGGCTATTCAGGCTCGAGGGATGAACTATCTGCACAACTCCACTCCAGTGATAGTGCATCGTGATTTGAAGTCCCCAAATCTTCTTGTTGATAAAAACTGGGTTGTAAAGGTGTGCTAATTGAATCTCGTGATTAATGTCCCTTAATAGCGCTGTAAGTGCTATTTGTTGATAGGTTATCACTTTTTTCCTGTTGAATAGGTTTGCGATTTTGGCTTATCACGAATGAAGCATAGTACATTCCTTTCTTCCAGATCAACTGCAGGAACAGTAAGCTATCACAATTTTTATTTCCTTAGTGAAACAGCTATTGTAAAATCTGTTCCTTTTAAATGAAATTATTGCTAATACACATATGTTTACTCACAAATTCAGGCACTTGGTATATCTTTTAACTAATAACTACTTTTGAAAGGCCAAGAATTTTCTTCCTAATAAATTTTGAAACTACTTTCTGTTGCCTTTTGGTTGTGGTTTTGAAGCTCTGAATTTAGGCATTGTTTGACATCCATTTTCTTGCATTATCATTCTGTTATCTGCATTGATGAAAGACAGCCTACAACGAATTGGATATACTAGTACTTCACTTATGTGTATAATATGTTTCAGGCTGAGTGGATGGCTCCAGAAGTGTTGAGAAATGAACTTTCAGATGAAAAGTAAGCTTTGTTATTCTTGGTATTTGTTATTTTGCTGGTGGGACAGGAAGGTGTGGTGAAAACCCTTCCCTTCTTGCCACTCTTTATTTAACATTTCCATAAAATGAATGAGTAGCACATCGCGCTTGCAAATATTTTATGTAGATTTCATTAGTTTAATAGGTAGGCAGGACAAACTAGTTATTGCTAGCATATTCTAAATATCAACAGACAAATTTATGAACTTATATTAAGTGCATGTTTGGTTCAGCTTATTTTGAAGAAATAGTCATTTATCTTTGTTAGTTTCTTTTTGTAATTAAGTCTCAATGGCGTCTTTGTTCTATGTAATTAAGTTCCTTCATTTATCAACCCAAAGAGAAGCTTGGTTACTTGGTGGAATCTCCGGAATCTATAGTTTCAGGGAAAACAAAACAATGTTCTATCATTGGCTATAACACTTTTTAAAACCTAATGCTTTTATGATAACAAATTGTGACTCTTTTTCTAGGTGTGATGTTTTTAGCTATGGGGTCATACTATGGGAGCTCTGTACTTTGAGACAACCCTGGGGAGGAATGAATCCAATGCAAGTTGTTGGTGCTGTGGGTTTCCAACATCGCCGTCTTGACATTCCAGATGATGTAGACCCTGCCATTGCAGATATTATCAGACAGTGCTGGCAGACGTGAGTGTATTTTTAATCATTTGGTCCTTCCATTCTGAACTGTGAACCAAATATGTTATACTGTTCTATTGAACCAAATAGAATAGTGACAAATTGTTGCCACAGTCTAAGAAATTGTTCTTATTCTGTTTAGGCTGTTTAATGTTTTACAACTGTAAGGTAAATTTCTCACGAAGTTTACATGGTGGAACAGTATGAGATATAACATGATCATATGTTTTCTTTCAAATATGAATGTGATCTTTTAAAGGGTATAAACATGTTTTATGGTTGTGTATATGGTGTATTTCTTAGTTATTGCATGTAAAAAATATATGCGTTCTGAAAGAATTTCTTTCTACAATAAGATGTATGACTGACTGGATATGCTACTTTTCTGTATTATAGCGATCCAAAGTTGAGGCCTACATTTGCTGAAATCATGGCTGCTCTGAAGCCGTTGCAGAAGCCAATTACTGTTTCTCAAGTGCACAGACCAAGTGCTCAGTCATCCCGAGTTGCTGAAGACCCTGCAGGATAGGAGACAATTATACTACTAACATTTTGTTTTTCATTTTACTGCTAAAAATGTGAGGGCAAGTTGTAGAGTATTTACCATTTGAGATTGACAAAAGTGATTGGTTAAAGACCATCCGCTAACTTACATTCTCATTCAAGATTTCACTCCTTCTGTTCCTTTGTTTTTGTCCCATTTGTTTGTACAAAATTCTTTGGAAAATGTTGTAATCAGTTTGTTGTCCATATATAGTTATGGAAAGTTGCAGCTGTAATTTGAACAGAAGAAAAAGGATTAACGTTAATTGAAAATTGCTTGCTGCTGTAATTAGTGACCATGTAAATTGGGTAAATGTATTCAATTTTCTGTGAGCCATGCGATTTCGTTTTAAAATATTATTCTATAGATATTCTCAAACGGCGTAGGCGCTGTATTTAAGTGTAGTTGGTCTCACTTTGCCCATTTACTATAACCCATTGGTTGATCCATCAATCGGTGTAGTTTATATTTATTGAATATATATAGGTTGCTGATTAGCTTCTTCCTTTCGCAAGTGCAGAAAGCAGAATATTATTCGTTTAAAAATATAAAGAGCAAGACTTCATATTATTCTCTTTTAATTTGCTGAAGAGTATGATAAGAACAAGTAATCAACAATTAAATTAACATTGAAAAAAAAATGCAAATAGATATGCATGGGGAAGAGCAAATGGGATTCCAACCTCCTGCCACGGTATAGATGATGTACAACTTGCCTTAATTGCGGTCACTTCTAGCATGTTCTAATTGTAGTCGCTTATCAATTATCAATAAGATTGATAAATAACGGAGTTTTTTTTTAGCACACAGATAAAAGTTCGATTCTTAATTGTGGTTATGATTATGAAGAGGACTTTGTTTAAAGAAAAAAACTTCAATAATATTTACCTTTCTAAAAAAATTAGTCTCCAACTATCTGATAGAAGATATCTTTGGTGAAAATAAAATTGTAATATTTTTTTTAACATATTTATTGTGTTTGGTTGTGAAGTGTATTTAATCTCACGTTAATTAAAGATATGACCAATGTAATTGTAGTAAAATTTGTCCATTTTTTCTTTAGTTTTGAATAATTGAATTAGAACTGTTACAAATTAGCTGATCCAAAATCAATTGTTGGTCCACTCGTGTTTCCCCCCTTTTTGACAAAGATAGAAACAAATTTCTACTAGAAAAGCAAGGAATGAAGTCGGCATAATTTATATTGTGACATGTAAAGGCTAAAGATGGATCCACCACATGGTTAGGGATAAGGTGGGGACTAGCCCCTAACATGGACCTTGTAAGATATTTCTTTTCACCTTTTCTATCTAAACCAACCTTCTTTCATTTCTGAACATGGCTACTTTCTTTGGTTCCCCACCAATTTTCTCCCTCCCCCTCACTAGAACTCACCACATTTCTTCATCATCACAAACACCCCCACCAACACCTCCACCAACTCCTCCCCCGCAATCTGAGTCCCCAACTTCATCTCCACAGCTTAGAACAACAAATTTGAATGAGGAATCAGTGCAAGTGTCCACTGAAGCTAAGCAACAAAAGCCCATCAAACCAGTCACTTCATCAACCAAGGTTGAATCCACAGATTGGATAGCCACTTCCTTGACAAGAAGGTTTGGACTAGGAGCTGGTCTTGCCTGGGTTGGTTTCCTTGCATTTGGTGTCATCTCAGAACAGATTAAGACTCGCTTTGAGGTGTCTCAGAAAGAGGCAAATACAAGGTCAGTGTAACAATTACATGCAGAAACATTTTTTTTAATAATTATTTTTATTTATCAACAAAAACAATATTACTTCACTTGATTCAGTGACTTCTTTAAGAAAATTGACAACCCCTATTACGTTCATCAAAATTATACACATATTAGTTGGTTCTTTTAGCAATGACTGATAGTCATGACTTTCTTGTCTCACACAGGAACGTTGAGAAGGTGGAAGAGGTGGTGCTGCCTAATGGCGTAAGGTTCATTATTTTTCATAATCCATTATAAACTATGATAATATTAAAAGGAATTCTATCCACACTATTTTTTATATTCTCTTTTATTGATTGAAATTTATTCGACATCACAATTTTTGTTAGTATCATATCTCATTTAATGAGTGTCTCTCTTGATTTAATGGAACGATCCTTTTACAATTTTCAACTAATAAGGAAAGTACTGAGAAGAGAGTATAAGAAAAAGTGTTGTTAGTATTTCTTTAATTTTATACTGTTATTGTATATGCCTCATTTTGTGATACACAAAATGTGTTGAATTATAGGTACTATGAGTTGAAAGTTGGAGGTGGAGCTTCACCAAGGCTAGGTGATTTGGTTGTGATTGATATTATGGGGAAAGTTGAAAGCAGTGGAGAAGTATTTGTGAACACATTTGAAGGGGACAAGAAACCATTGGCTCTAGTGATGGGGTCAAGGCCATATAGTAAGGGAGTGTGTGAAGGGATAGAGTATTTGCTAAAATCTATGAAGGCAGGAGGCAAGAGGAGGGTAATAGTCCCTCCACAATTGGGGTTTGGAGAGGATGGTGCTGATTTAGGCACTGGTGTGCAAATTCCTCCTCTTGCAACACTTGAGTACATTGTAGAGGTTGAAAAAGTTTCCATTGCACCTGCTTAATGATAAAATGCAAGCATGTAAATTATGGCCAAATCAAGTTTTGCTCTAGTAAGTCCTAAGCATTGTTGATAAGTCCTTTATCCAATAATGCGGGGTCCTCATCTTGTATCACATAAAACTATCCATTTATTTTCTCATTCTTTTCGATGGGATTGAGAGGTATTGTTTTCAAATTAAGTACCTAAAATAATATGTGCAGTCCTCAAATTCATACATTTCATTTCTCTGGTTACTTGACTGAGATACTCCAAATTTCTTCATATATTGTTATATTCAAATTGCAACACACTTCTTATTACTCCGAAAATTATTTTATATTCAGAAATGTTAACATTTATTTGGAAGAGTGAAAGAAGTCAATTAATGGCAGCTGTAATGAAGAATAAAAAGAAATAATTTTGGGTTTTTGACCAAAGTGAGGTCGTTGACCAAGTTATTTACGTAAATGGGGCTGTTCTGAATTTATTTACGCCTTTGGGGCTGTTTACAACGGTGTCGCTATGGGCCATAGCGACACCAATGCCACGTGGCTTTTTTTTTTTTGGCGGACGGATGCTGGAATGAGCCACAACAGTGTCGCTATGAGCTGGACCAACACAGTTTGTGAGCCAACAAAGCTGGTGTAGCCCATAGCGACACCATTTAAGAAAAAAAACGAAAAAAACTGAAATAATTTAAATGTAACCTTAAAATAATCAACTGAGTATACTTATTATATATTTATAAAAAAAAATTATTTAAAAACGTAATTTTAAAAAATAGATTTAATTATTTATTTAAGTGGCGCTGTGGCCTATAGCGACACAGAGTCGCTGTGGCCCACAGCGCCACTAATTAATTTTTTTTTTTTAGTTATTAACTTATTTTGTTTGGAAATTTGTTTAATTTATATTTAGCACTTAAATATTAATTTGTAATTATAAAGTTTATTTTTCTGTAATTTATATTGTTTTTGTATATATATTTTTGTCCTTTAAATAATTTTAAATAGGCGCTGTAGCCTACAGCGATTCTTAGTATCGCTGTGGCCCACAGCGCCAGTAATTTTTTATTTATTTTTTAGTTATTAACTTATTTTGTTTGGAAATTTGTTTAATTTATATTTAGCACTTAAATATTAATTTGTAATTATAAAGTTTATTTTTCTGTAATTTATATTGTTTTTGTATATATATTTTTGTCCTTTAAATAATTTTAAATAAGCGCTGTGGCTTACAACGACTCTTAGTGTCGCTGTGGCCCACAGCGCCAATAATTTTTTTTTTTTTTAGTTATTAACTTATTTTGTTTGGAAATTTGTTTAATTTATATTTAGCACTTAAATATTAATTTGTAATTATAAAGTTTATTTTTCTGTAACTTATATTGTTTTTGTATATATATTTTTATCACATTTTATTTTATTTACGAATACATAAAAATATGTACTTATAAATATTTACCTATTTCTCATTTTTCTTTATTTTATACATTTTTATTTTTGTATTTACGTTTTTTAATTTTTTTTTTATCACATTTTATATATCTGAATTTTTTTTAAAAAAGGGGGCGTTGTAGCCTACAGCGTCACTATATTTCTATTTTTTTTAAAAAAATTATTAAATAATTTGTTTTTTACCACTTTTTAATTATTAAAAATAAATGTTTTTTTATATATGTGTCGATTTAGGCTACAGCGACTTTATTCTAGATGTTTTGTGGCGCTGTAGGCTGTAGCGATACTATTAATATGACTTTCATGGCTTTCTTGAAGTGTAAAAAAAGCTACGTGGCAACGGTGTCGCTATGGCCCATAGCGACACCGTTGTAAACAGCCCCAAAGGCGTAAATAAATTCAAAACAGCCCCATTTACGTAAATAACTTGGTCAACGACCACACTTTGGTCAAAAAGCCAATAATTTTTCCTTGATCATTAGCAGGACAAGTTAGAAAAATGGGGTATAGGGATAATTTCAAGTTTAATTTCTTTTACTCTTAGAACAAACAGATTTTTTCTTATTAATTTATGATATATAACTAAAAAATTATAACACTATATTACTTTTAACCCAATTCTGATATAAAGGAATGAATATTTTAAGAGAATTGTATATAAGAGGTGTATTTGAAAAAGTCTCACGGTAAAATTGATTTATTTCGAACAAGTTTTGGTCCTAAATTATTTGAACATGTTTTTATTTTTATTTTTTTGTTTTAAAAATGGTAGAGCGAGAAGATACTCTCAAATACTATTAGTCATGGCTCTAATGTATGTCAGACGATAAGATTGTTAACAATGATCCACTCTCTAACACATTCTTTGTCATTCATTAAAATTTATTGAAAACAATAAGATTGAAGCATGTAAAACTCACAAACTTTTGTAATTTCTAATCAATTTTAACTAATATCTTGTTGGTATAACATGCTCGTTGTAATTTGTTAAAATTAAAGAATAAGATCATAAGAGATAGTTATTAAATAACACATGAGACTCACAATTTTTTTTTTTTTTTTGTAACTTCTAACCAATTTTAACCTATAAAAAGTGTGTTCAAAAGAATATATCAAATATTATGTTATTAGTATTTTTCATAAAATCATAAATTTATTCTCAAATTATTAAGTGAAATTGAATTTGATATTCTGCTTAAGATTGAGTTATAGTGTGACATATAAGTGGAATTAAATTTGGATATTCTGATTAAGATTGAGTTATAGTGTGATATATAAAAACTTTTCTTTCAAAATTAAAGGGAAGTTTTTTCTTTTACATTTTCTTTACCACAAAAAATAAATAAATAATTTCATAACATATATTTTTTAAAACAGTAATATATTATTTTATGTTTTAAAAATGAAGTAAAAAAAATTAATTTTAGGGGTTAAAGTTAACCATTTTAATCAATATAATTTATTTATTTATTTAATTCATCCAAATAGAAATAAATTGAGAGATATTTTTCAATTGTTTCTCTTATTTATTTCTATTTATTTAAACAATGCATTTATTTTATAGTCTAATTTTTCTCTCTCTCTCTCTTTTATACATTCTTGAGGTTAATTATAATTTTAATCTTTTATTTTTTATTAAATTCATTATTGGTGTTTTATCTTTTAAAAGATTCATTCTAGCCTTTTATACCAAGAATATTGTCTTGACTCATTCAAGGCATGTTCACCTATATAAAAAACACTGTTGGTAGTATTGAATCAATTGATGCTACAACCAAAAAATCATAAAAAATAATGAAAATTGCATAAAAAATAAATTATAAGTTTAAATATATTTTTAGTCTCTTAAATTTAAGATAAATTTATTTTTACTCTCTTAAATTTAATTTTTTTTTAATCTTATAATTTTTTAAAATTTTGTTTTAATCTCTCAAATCACCAACAACATATTTAAAAATGACAGATTAAGACACTTGTGAAACATTAATTAGATTTAATATATTATTTTTACTAACAAAGATACTAATAAGTAAATTTTATACAATAATATTTGACATATTATTAACAAAATTTGAGTATAAAATTTAAGATAATTTTTTTAAAAAATCATAGATATAAAAAAAATTAATTTTAAATTTAAGAGATTGAAAATATATTTAAACTTAAACAATATAAGCAACTAAAAATGAATTTAATATCATTTTTTTATTGTGAAATTTTTTTACACAATTTTGATTATATTTATAATTTTTTTTGAATATCACCTTCAATAGCATTTTTATATAAGGGAATCTATTTAGATAAATTTAAGTGTTATTAAACAACTAAAATAATATTTAAAATTGTGAACCAAAATCTAAAAGTTGATTGTTTAATAAGGCCAAAATTGAGCTAAACTTTAAAGGATAAAAATTTAATAAATATTTTAAAATATAAAATATCGAAATGAATTTTAAAATTAAAATTAAAAAATAGAATTGTTTTTTTTTTCTTCCTCTTGTGCCCTAACCCTATTTCCTTAGCAGCACCCATCCACATCACGACACTCAAGCTCAGGTTAGCTTACTAAGCTAAAAAAAATAAAACTTTTCTTCTTCACGAACCTTAAATCGTGCAACCAATTCCAAATCTCAATCACGTTTCTGATTCAGTCGTTCTCTTCACCCAATTCTCTTTCGTTCGCGTCGTAAATCACCGTAATCACGCGATTTTTATTTTCTTTTTCTGCACCAGATTTCTCCCTGTCTTCCATTCGTTTCTCTGTTTCTGAATGTGTTTCGTTTTCTCTGTTCGATTCTTAGATTATTTTTTTTTCCAACTCAGCTCGAGTGGAACAGGGGGGACCCAACCCCTGTGTATGTGTGTCTGCAACTCCCAACATTGTGAACTTTTTTTTTTGGTTGAGAATTTTGTTTGGTTTAATTGACATTTTAGATGTTGCATAGGATATTGAGCCATGCGATGCTTGTGGAATAACCCCTGTTCTCCCTCAACAGTATAAATTTTTATTTATTTTATTTTTATACTTTTCTGTGAGACGATTGTTGTTAATGAAAAATAGATTTTTATCTGATTTTATGCTTTTGTGTTACAGAATTATGATACGACTACAATTTGATATTGTTATGTTCATTTGCAGATTCTCAGCGCTCCTCACAACTTTTGACAAAGGATGGCTTCAAGATTCTGGACCCAGGTTTTTACCACATTCTTAATTATGGTTTGGTTATTTGCTGCATTGGATTGAAGAAAATGTGTTATTAAAGCATGTTTTTTGTTTACTGAATGGCAGGGTGGAAGCGATTCCGAGGAGGAGGAGAGTGATTATGATGAGGAGGTTGAAACCACGGTGGGTGAATCTGCTAGTCAAGCAGTGACAAGCAGGTACCTGCAGGACAATGCAAGTGACAGTGATGACTCGGATGGCCAAAAGCGCGTTGTGAGGTCAGCAAAAGATAAGCGTTTTGAGGAGATGGCTTCCACTGTTGACCAGATGAAGAATGCCATGAAGATCAACGACTGGGTGAGCTTGCAAGAGAGTTTTGACAAGATTAACAAACAGCTTGAGAAAGTCATGCGTGTCACTGAGTCTGAGAAGGCTCCCAATCTTTACATCAAGGCACTTGTGATGTTGGAAGATTTCTTGGCTCAGGCTTTGGCTAATAAGGATGCCAAGAAGAAGATGAGTAGTAGCAATGCTAAAGCCTTGAACTCAATGAAGCAGAAGCTGAAGAAGAATAATAAGCAGTATGAGGAGATGATTAATAAGTGCAGGGAGAATCCTGAGAGCGAGGAGGAAAAAGAAGAAGAGGAGAGTGAGGAAGAGTATGAAAGTGATGATGAGATTATTGAGCCAGAGCAGCTTCGAAGACGAGAAGCAAAATCTGATTCCGAAGCCTCTCAATATGAAGATGAAAAGGCAGATGATGGTGAAGGTCCTTGGGACCAAAAGCTTAGCAAGAAGGACAGGCTTTTGGATAGACAATTCATGAAAGACCCTAGTGAGATCACATGGGACACTGTTAACAAGAAGTTTAAAGAGGTTGTGGCTGCTAGGGGCAGGAAAGGAACTGGGAGGTTTGAACAGGTTGAGCAACTCACTTTCTTAACAAAAGTTGCTAAGACCCCTGCACAGAAGCTGGAAATTTTGTTCAGTGTGGTTTCTGCTCAGTTTGATGTTAATCCGGGCCTCAATGGGCATATGCCAATAAATGTTTGGAAAAAATGTGTGCAGAACATGCTGATAATTCTTGATATTCTAGTGCATTACCCAAACATAGTGGTTGATGATTCAGTGGAACCAGATGAGAATGAATCTCAGAAAGGTCTTGAATATAATGGACCAATTCGGGTTTGGGGTAATTTAGTTGCTTTCTTAGAAAGAATTGATGTTGAGTATTTCAAGAGCCTGCAGTGCATAGATCCTCATACACGTGACTATGTTGTGAGACTTAAGGACGAGCCCATGTTTCTGGTTCTTGCTCAGAATGTCCAGGAATATCTTGAAAGAGTTGGAAATTTCAAAGCTGCATCTAAGGTGGCCTTGAGGAGGGTTGAGCTCATTTACTACAAACCACAAGAGGTTTATGATGCAATGAGAAAATTGTCAGAGTTGACAGAAGATGGAGATAATGGAGGGGAGGCAAGTGAGGAATCAAAAGGATTTGAGGAATCAAGAATTCCTACTGCATTTGTTGTTACCCCAGAGGTTGTTGCCCGGAAGCCCACCTTCCCTGAGAATAGCAGGGTCCTAATGGATGTATTGGTATCTTTGATATACAAATATGGAGATGAGCGAACTAAAGCACGGGCAATGCTATGTGATATATATCACCATGCTCTTCTTGATGAGTTCCCAATAGCCCGTGATCTGCTTCTTATGAGTCATCTGCAAGATAGTGTTCAGCATTTGGACATTTCAACCCAGATACTTTTTAACAGGGCCATGTCACAGTTAGGTTTATGTGCTTTTCGGGTTGGACTAATTTCTGAAGCACATGGCTGTCTGTCTGAACTCTATTCTGGTGGAAGAGTGAAGGAGTTACTTGCACAGGGTGTGTCACAAAGTCGTTATCACGAGAAGACTCCAGAGCAGGTACAA